TATGTTGCTGTTATTGTTGTGTGCTGTCGAGCCAGGACTGATTCATTCAGAGGGTTTTCAGAGGCAGTAAACCCTCCAGAGGGTTTTCAGAGGCAGTAAATTACACAGGAGGAGATTACCTACATGAGTGTTATATTATCATTCAACTAATCTAGGTTTTGTTGGGGTTTTTTCTCACAAATCACAATTTGTACTTCTGTCATATTATTGTTAGTTATTTTACTATTTAGAATTATTATTTTGAAAGGAAACCCATATGGAAAACCATTTATCTTAATATGAATAAATGTCTGTTTACATTCAGGGATTGGTAAGTAGGTTAAATTTAATTTTTAATTATTTAAATAAGGTTTAGACCATTTCATACAGATCACAGATCAGATAGTCTATAAAGCATGAGAGGGAAGAACTAAGTTATATGGAATCTTTCCTCCAGATTTTCTTCCTCTGAGAAACTACAGGAAGATAAGTTTCATGTACATTGTTACAACTAGAGGTTGACAGAATAAATATATCCTGTGTGAATCTATGAGAAGACTATTGGAAACCTAAATCTACTTTCCTCTGGACCATGAATGCCTAATCTCTGGTTCATGAATGCCTAATCTCTGTTTATTTTGCTTTGTGTCCTTCAGCTTAATAAATATTAGCCATGAATACTACCAGACGTTGAGCCTGTAGGTCTTCTTAGCACCAAATCTATGTGCTCTTTGTAACTCATGACACAAAACTTGGAAGCTTTACTCATCCCTCCAATTCAGAATAATGGGATGGAACAGCACATATGAGAGTAATAGGTAGCATAGCAATGAGACTGATACAAAATGAAGCCCACTCTTCTCTAGAGTTAATTACCCAAAACTGGAACTACATTTATTACTTACGTGACAGGCCTGTAGATCTCCTTAACACCAATGAACTGAAGCTGCTCCATGATGTCTGGAATACTTGCACAACGAGTAAGATTGATTCTTGGGTAGTAAAGAAGGTAGGAGAGACACATTTCATTTCTGGTGCTCAAGCCTCCCTGAAAGTGGAGATATTTAATGCAGACAAGTTTATCTTCTACCAGCTATGACACTTACAACACCCAAGCCAGTAACATCATACTATTCCTTTCATCCCTGGAATGGAATGTTTTAAAGCTTAATAATAATAATAATAAAATATTTTTAAGATGATGGTGCCTTATAAGATGATATATCACCTTCTTGATAAGAAATATTCAAGTAAGAGAATGGAAAATTCCACAGTAAATTAAACAGCATTTTGATAAGTCTACAAAGAATTAAATTGTTGCCAGGTTTTGGATCACTAAGGAGTCACAATGTTGGTCACTGGGAATTCTTTCCCAGGTGTAGGCTGCCTGTATTAGGGAGAGAAAACAAATTGGTTAGGCCATAAATTCACCATCTTCTCGCATGTCCAACTGTCCACAAGAACAGGAAAAGCACAGCTAGGAAGGGAATTATTAGCAGCAGTAAAATTATCAGTCATGCTTTAAATATTTATACTACAAATAAAAACCAGAAAAAAAAAGGTTGCAACACATTTTAAAATTAACATAATTACTTCTATCTTGCAAAGGCTGCCTTTTATTTTTTTTAATGGAAGCTCATAAGAAAAATAGCAATAATCTTAAGATTCTCTTTGTTGTTGTTAAACGCTGTTGAGTTGAGTGCGGCATATAGAGTCTCTATGAACAGGGTTCAGCTGACTGGAACGCTGCCCTATCCTGGACCAGCCTCACAGTCTTGACACACTAGAGCCCAAGTGCTGAAGTCACTGTGTCAATACATCTCATTGGGGGTCTTCCATTCCTTTGTCGACCCACCATTTTCTAAGCATTATGTCTCTTTCCAAGGAAGAGCCCCGTCTAGCTACATGTCCAAAGTATGAAAGACAAAGCTTTACCATCTTTGTCTTCCAGAAGCACTCTGGCTGCACTTTTCCCAAAACATATCTGTTCTTTTGGCAGTCCATGGGACATTTAGTTAGTGTTCTTCTCCAACATCACAATAAAAAGGCATTAATTATTCTCCTGTCATCCATATTCACTGTCCAGCTCTCAGATACATAGCATGTGATGGAAAATACCATGGCCTAGATCGGGTGCACTTTAGTCTTCAAACTGACATCATGACTCTTTAGCATTTTGGAGAAGTCTCTGACAGTGGGCTTGCCCAATGCAATACATCTCCTTATTTCCTAATTGATGGTACCAAGGGTGCTGACTGTTGATCTAACAAAGATGAAATCATTGACCACTTCAATCCTTTCTCCATCTCTCATAATGTTTACTGCTGGTGTTGTAGTAACAACCCATTTATCTATTTATATGATGTAAAATTCTCATGAGGATACTTGGTTAATTTGATACCTTCAGTTTGATACAATTTGTGCCTGCTTACATTGAATTTTCTGTAAACTTGTCATCATGTATATAAACATTGTAGTTCTTTATTGTAAGGGAGACTGACACCATATTTTTGAAAACAAATAAATTAATTATCTACTAAGCCAAATTACCAGTTTTTCTAAACCTTAATAGATAGTAGTTTCCCATTATTTT